CCAAGGGTTGTGATCCCGTTACCGGTCAGTAAAAAAGACAAAAAGAAAAAAAAAAAAAAAACTTGTACAGTTTAATATAATCTGTTGTTACCAGAATTAGTGTGTTCTGAAAACTACAAGGAAAAATTTTTAGATCCTACGTTGTTTAGCCAACCCCTTTGAATTAGGTCCGAAGAAGCCCCTACTATAGACGCCTTTTTAATTTTATAACAGGAAACTTTCTTATTCCCAGGCATTTATTTCTTCCACGAAGCAGAGTCCACATTTTTATTAGTGTTCCTTAGTCCCATGAGGGCTTCAGCAAAGAGGCAGGGAGCCTTGAGGTCTGAGACTCCGTCTAAGGTCTGCGTCTGTCCAGCACCCTTTCCCAAAGGAAATTGACCTTGGGGTGCTGGCAGTGGGGGAGAAGGAAGATTATTTAAAGCTTAAGGTTTTTTTTCCACTTTGGGATGTTTATGTGGGGGTAGGTGCATGAGATTTGAAAATGCTTCCCATCTTCTCAGTAGAACATACATTGAATGTTCAGGTTTTTTCTTATATTATTATTAGGAGACAAACATTTACTTTTGCTGCTTCAAGTTTATTCCAGTTTCATAACTGAGCATCGATATCTTGAACTCCTTGGAATAAACACATTATGCCAAGAGATAACATGATCATTTTTTAAAAGTTTATTCTGATTCATTTGAAGATCTCATTTGTTTCAGTTAATCTTATTCTGGTTTGGGATCATAAAAAGGTGTCATGTTCAAAATTAAATTTTAGTTAGTGCCCTGTGACATTGACTTAGCTTCCATCTCAGCACACAGAGAGACTGTGGATACGTCAGTTATTCCAGCGTGACTAGTATTTAACTGTGCTAAAATCAGTCAGCAGAAACACTTATGCACCACACTCATGTCTGCTAGGAAAGCAAGGGAGCAGCCATCAGTTGCAGTGTTAGTAGCAGCAACCAGCCCTAAGTGCCGTCGATCTCGCCACACCATTTATCAGACACCTCCGGAGAGCCAGGCTGCCTGCTAGGTCCTTTGGGGATGAAGGCAAACAATGTGAACACTCTTATTCCAGGAAAGACATACCCAGTTTTGCAGATTTAGTAGCCATCTGGGTGATGAGGGTAAGATGTGGGAAACTGTTTATATCTGAAAGTAAATTTTGTTGTCCAGATTTTATAATGACACATTTTTGTATTTTATTTAAAAGATACATGAAAAATACTATTTCTTGGCTGCCTTGTCAGTGTGGGTATTTTTTTTTTTAACATTTCTAAGTATTTGGCAACCTTTATTAGCTACAGAATGGAAGATGGCCATCTCTATGATTCAGGTTTAGTTTTACAACTGCAAGTTAGGAATCAAGGAAGCTGTCATAGACAATAATAATAATGATACAGTTGACATTCACTGAGTACTTCCTTTTGCCTGTGGCTCTACAGGGTCACATCGTCTAGTCCTTGCCCCAGCCCTGTGAGGGGTATTGTTTTTGCATTTGGAGAAAGTAGAGGTTGTAGACGTGAGATCACTTGGCCCAAGATTGAAGAGCTAGAAAGTGGCAGATTTGGGATCCACAGTGTGTCTGACACTACCTTCTAGATTGTTTTACTTTTTCTCTTATAAATAACAATCTGGCCTCCTAGAATGTATAATTAATTATTTTGGAAAATTTAGACA